CAACTTTTCAGGTCCCTTAAAACAGAATTCAGACTATGCTGCTGCTTATGTCTGGTCTGCTCTGAAATGTGAAAGGGTATCATTCACTGGACGGTTGCAGACAGGAATTTGTTTCCTCAGGGCAGGACATAGTGGGTGGTGGGGAGGAGCAGGGCAGGTACCTGACTGTTCCTGCTTTTGTGATGTCCCTGCCATGCTTCTGAGGGGTTGTTGAGCTAGAAATAAAGGATGCTTTTCATAGACAGAGTTGATGGTTATGGAGGGACTGCTGTCCTGTTTCAGAACAGGAGGAGAAGGCTCAGAGTGAAAGCGTTTAAAACTACAGGGCCAGCCCTGCGCTGCAGAGGGCGGTTAGTGGCTTCACTGTGGCTCCCCAGTGGATGCTGTACCCCTTCTGAAAACAACATCAGTTCTGGCCCCAGCTTCAGCTTGCCAGAATGTCTCTCCATCCTTCGTTACTTTTAATCACTGCTGTGTTTTGCTCTGATGGATTTTGCTGGCAAATGCCTGACACTGCCTGTCTTGGAGTAAAGCTGATTTTAAAGGCATGCACATTTATTTGAGAGAAAAAGTTGGTTTTCTTCCTGTTCTTTCTTCCTTTCTTTCCAAAGAGATTGTGAAGGTTCCAGCCCTGTCTTGTCCAAGCACCCTCCTGCAATCAGTGCTACCAGTGCTCTGCCTCCAGACATGTATGCCAGATGAATTAGTGTTCCTTGGGGAAGGATCCAGGGGATCCATGTGCCACGGAGCATATGCTATGCATCACTGGTAAAAGTGGCAGGCAATGACAAGTTGGGATGACTGGGTAAAAGTGGCTGGGGTGAGGATAGCACTTAGGTTGCATTGTCATGTCCTGCCACTCAGTGTCAATTGTGAACATCACTTGTTAGCAGCTGGGCCAGTTGCTCTGTGCTTTTATTCCATGAAGGAAAATGCTAATAYGGTTTTCTTCTTTGGGATGAAGCTGAGACTTTTTTTCTCTATTTGTTTTCTAAAAATGAAGAGCATACCAAGATTTGAGGTATCATAAGCTCATACTCAGGCTGATGTTTCCTTTTGCAGCCTGACAGCCAGGGACAGTGGACCACTGAGATATGAGGTGCCTGTATTACTGACCATTACTGGCCTTGCTCTCTTTTTTCTGGAAGTTGCAACTGTTCTTCAACCATACACTACTGTGTCGGGTTTCAGTTTTTGTGGTACTTATGATGGGAGATAGAGAATAAGTGAATCTAGAATATTTTCAAACAGATCAAGCTAAGTGCTGAGCATGGCAAGATTGAGATATCTTAGCATATATTGGGAGCTAAATTACTGTAGAACTGGTCGATAGAGGAGTAAGCGAAGAAAACAATATGAAATGTTTCAGACTCTGCCTAGCAATTACGGTGTATTACAGGAAAGCTGGAAAGCCTGGCAGAGTTTATAGTCTGTTGATGTTTCATCTGTGAGCTTGGAGAGGTGACTACTGCTGATAGAAAGTATTACATTTACCACAGCRGCTGCGTATCAAATTCCTGTAATTTCTGCAGGATATGATGGACACAGCCTCTATTCATTCCCTGTGGGTCTGGGGATGCTTTGACAGAAGGAGAAAGCATGCATCAGGAGTGTGTTGCTGGGGACGGAAATACCAGGGTCTGTGGACCTGGTTTCTGGCCGCAGCTCCTGTGCTGAGACTGGAGAGGTCTGGAGATTTTTTTGTAGCTTCTGTTTTCTGTGTTTTCTGATAGCAGAGATTAATGTAAGTATCTCTGGATAAAAATCAGCAGCCATTGCTGGACAGACAGTTACCAGTAATATCATCCCTTTTGGCCTAGAATCCAGGTTTTGGGGGAATATAATCTATGACATTTTTCAGCCTGCTTATTTCAGTGAAGGTTTCTCATTTTTTGTGTGATAAAGTGTAAAGCTGCATGAGAAATGCATGTAGCCTTGCTCTGTGTCACAAAGCTCTTTCTGTTTACATGGTARTGCTGCTGTCTGTGCTTTATGTGTAGAAACGGTAACTGCAGAAGAGAGACATATTTGCAGCTTTGGTTGCTGTTAGCTCCTGATTTGAATTTATCATAAGCACTTAATAGAGGGAGGCAAGTATTACTGAATTCAGCAGATTGGTAAACTGAGGCACAGAGGGAAAATAATGCACCCGGAAAGCCTTGAAAGTAAGAAGAGATGTCAGCTATTTCCCTGAGTAACACCCCTTGGACCCTGCTAAAAASTCCTGCCCTGACCGGCAGCTTGCACAGTAGCCATGCACAGGGTGTCTGTGTTTCCTAAGCCTTCAGTGGTAYGAGCACTGAGTCTTCAAGCCTCCTAAGACACTTGGAAACTGAAGTCTCACTTGAATGTTAAGAATCTGTCATTTCCCCTGAACAGGCTTATGTTACAGGCAGCCTGTATTGATTTGACAGCCTTTTTGTACTTGGTACTTTAGAAGGAAGTACAAAAACTACTCACTTAGTACTTACTTTTTGTAAGTACAAAAAGTACTAAGTACTTAGTACATTTGTACWAAGTACAAAAAGTGCTTACTCAGCCCCACTCTGTACTAAGTAAKAAGTTAACCAACTGTCAGAATTAGCTATTGGAATAGCAGCAGGAGGCACCCCTTATTCTTCGATGCATGTGCGGGCACCCTCAGTCAGGACAAAGCTTTTAATAGGGGAAGTTGGAAGATAAGGTTTTCACGCAACCCAGTTGACTAGTTTTGGCAAGCAGGGGAAAGAGCACACCCTCTTTCTTGCTGGGTGTTCCTCCTTCACATCCCAGCCATGGCTCCGAGAGGGAAAACAGAAGCTGCTGAACTGTTAATTTCACTAAGTGGCAGATGCTGGTACTTCCTTTCTTTCGAAACTTGTGGTGGTTTGTGGTAAGGTTGACTCTCGTAATGCACTGGTTSTCAGCAGGGTGCAGATGTTTCTTGTCAGCTTTGGCCATCTTTCAGGGCTGTAAATACTACCTTTAATAAAGAGCAGTGGTGAAAGAGGACCGTGATTTATAGTGAGGCTCTGTGTGGCTTTTGAAGCAGCATTTGTACATGAAAGACTCGGTGCATGTATTAGCTCACCTGGGTATCCCTTGCTTTTGTTCATTGTTAGCGATGGGAATTTGGAATAAGTTGTGCCTGATATGAACAGACGGGGTGTTGCTCTGGGCGTGTATCAGGGTACTCTGTCATTTACTTCCTTCCCAAGTTTGTTATAGGCCAAATTTAGAGAGTTTCAGACATTCGCTAGTGGTTTTAGACAGGGCCAAAGAGGCATTTTCCGCAGCAACGATGTCAGGAGGGGCTTTTATTCTTTTCCAGGATAATTGGTGACCAGTAATGTTAGTGTTGGAATTGTATTTACATTTATACATTACACTTACATAAATTTCCTACTAGAATTAATTTCCTACTAGAGTACTGAGACTGACTCCCTTTTGTTATAGCACCTTCTTATTTGTAGTGAAATAAGTGCAGACCAATGCAAATCCCCAGTTCTTGCAGGAATAGGTTAGATTTCTGTTTTCCCAGATACTTGATGAAGAAGTTGTAAACACAGAGGGCACGTGTGATATTTCTCATGTTCTAGCAGCCCTGAAAAGACGAAAACAGAGGTAAAATGGGAAAATCTCCTTTCTGTAGGAGCAGTCTTTYTCTTAACATGGATGAGAAGAGGTAGAGAGCAGGTGATGATTTGTGGCATGCAGAATACCAAATATTTTTATTTCAAGCTCACCTTATATGAAAATCTCATCTTTAAGGAGTTAATAAGTGACGTTTGAGCAAATGGCTAGATAATTGTTACTGGAGTACAGCGATCAGTGTTTTAACCATGGCTTGTCAAGTCTGAAAATTACAGTGGTGTATGGAGCCATGGTATGTTGTTTAAAGTGCTGTGTGCTTAAAGTCATCCTTAACTCATTCCACTCATATCTGCCCTGTGTGTGACCCTTACTGACCATTCATTAGCTGTGTGTAAATGGGRTGTTAGTAGAAAGAATTTCTATATAGTATGAAAGTACAGAAATAAAAATAGAAATGCTGTCAAGCGCACACACACACACAAAAGCAGAGCTGATGTTTTGCAAAGTATTTCATACCAGTGTCAGAGAAAAGCTTTTCTAAAGTTAAAAGCCTGCCTGTGTGCAGGGGTGTGTATGTGGGGGTGTGCTTTCTGGTGTGGAGGGCTCTTGCCTCTTTGATGGGAGAAACAAAGCAGGCACACTACTCAGCCAGAGCATTCCTATTGTAGTAGAGGTGGGAGGAATCTGTAAGTGCATGATTTATCTGAAGTGCCCAGGGATTGCCATACTGAACATCTTGACTTTGAGCAGCTGGTGAGGGACATAATGTCCTCCACGAAGGAGCAGTAGGGAAGCAAGGAGTTCTCCAGGCTGGCGTGGATGGCTTGTGTTTGTCATTCTCCAAATTGGGTTCCTTGCTACGMGTCCTGCTTTTTCTAGTATTGTGCTCCCATGGGATGCCTGCTGCTCATGGGTGACACAGAAGACACTGAGAGTTCTGGTGTTATTATTTTAGATTTAAGGAATTGTATTGTTTCCAGGACAACTGGGGAAGAATGAGGAAGGCACTTGTTCTGACTCAGCTTGGAGTAACTGATCACCCTGGCCTAATGACTGCATTAATCCTGAAAAATGGCTTGTTGCCTACATTTACAGAGGCCTCTTTAAGCCAAGCAAACAGCTGGGTTAAAAAATACTAATGCACTCAGGTGCAGTTGTAGGATGACAATAACAAAGAGCTCTCTCTGAAGTGAGCCCAAGTTGTGGATACCTAGCACAGTTGGAAAGCTGGTATTTGTCTAGCTATGTTAAACATCCTTAACTTCCCCTGGCTGCTAAGTGAATGTTCCTGTTTGACACTGCTCCTTCAGTTAAATAGGTTTTGGTACATTGTGTTATCTTGCCTTCGTATATTTAATTGCCTTCTGTTCTAAGGGAAAACTCTAATGTTACCCTGTTTTGCTTCTTTCCATATTCTTCTCTTACAGCAATGTTGAACTGCAGAATGTGGTGTTAGACTCCAGTGCAGCCATGGGGAGCAATGAACTTCAGGAGAAAGATGCCACTGGAGCCCTTGGCCACGACCTCAGCAATGGCGGCAGCAGCAGCAATTTGGAAGCAGCCAGGCGTCTGGCTAAGCGCCTCTACCATCTGGACAGATTCAAACGCTCTGATGTGGCAAAGCATTTGGGTAAAAAGTATGTGCTGATATGAGGGGCTTTGGCCACATTATTGTTCTTTCTGGTTCTGGAGAGATTCACTCCTGAATGATAACTTTTACTTATTTTTTCGCTTTTTTTTAGCAATGAGTTCAGCAAGCTTGTGGCTGAAGAATACCTTAAATTTTTTGACTTCACCGGCATGACGCTGGACTGTTCACTCAGGTACGATCCCATTTGTAGACTTTATGTTCTTGTTTAAGTAACAGTGCTGTTTGCAGTGTTGTCCTGACTGTCCTGGTTGTCCTTTAGGGACMTAAGAAGGTGAGAGAGGACTGTGATGTGTTTGGGGACAGAACTTTGCTCTTCTGTTTGGCTTGGTGTGCTGCTGTACTCTAGTGCTGCTGGAGTGGCGGCAGTTCTAGGAGAGGGAAATATTTGGGTGGACCTRCTTAGAGGTAGTCCTTGATACAGAGGAGCTGGAGAAAAGATTCCAGTGACTCACAGAACAGGGTACTTGTAGTCTGACAGGTGCTTGTAGGGAGTTATGGTGTTGCTTACTGCTGATCTGCACAGAGTTTCTGGCTGATGCCTTTTGGAGCTTGCTCTGCTTTGCTGCAGTGTACTARGACCAGAGTTTGGTGTGGCTCGGCAGCTCCCCTCTCTGCGTCCCCCTGAGGCATCCAGGAATGTGCAGAGCAGCAGAAGCTTCCATGCAGAAAATGCTATAGAGGGTTTGGTAACTGTCAGCGTGGGTGTTTGAAAACCCAGCCCTTCAATTTTCTTTCCTTTTTACACTGGAATCAGGCCTCAACAATAGATGTTTTCAGTGCTTTCTTTCTCAAAAGGCAAAACCCCAGAGTTTGTGTAGCAGCGGCCTCTTAGCACAGTTGCTGGTGTTCTGGTGTCCAAGGGGTTTCAAATGAGTTTGAATCATTTGGCTGAAGTTACCTAAGTGGGATATATTTTCTTTTCTAATGATACAGATGTAGGAGGTGTGCATGCACTTCCTAGTCCCCTTGCAAATGCATTTCTGGGGTCTGATGCCATGAGACCRTAGCAGATCCCAAGGAAGCCCCACAGCCATGTCTGCTGAAGGCAGTAGAAATGGGATATGCCTGCACGAGCATAAACTGCCTGGTCTTGAGGCAGGGGAGTGGAGCCAAGCTGTAGCACCAGCTTATTACAGGGTGGGAGCTGCTGGGCAATGGGAGGTCTGCCACTCATTCCAGGTTTTAACATGCCCGAAGCACGATGCTAAATATACCCTTCTTTTAAATTGTGAAATCTAACACAATTGCTTTGTGGCACATCTTTAGGAGGTCTGCTCCCTGTAGACCTCCTGTTAATAGTTACTAAAATATGCCCAGACTTATATGGGACTTAAACAAGCCAGGGGGGTGTTGAGGTTTCAAGAGTAGCTGCAGTGATTGCCAGCTACATGCCCTGAGCATGCAGCATCAGCAGGGGACAAAGAATTGTCCCAAAGCCAGGGGAAACTGAGGYATGCTGCCTTGCGGTTGGCAGAGAAGTAACAGTGCTGTTGTTGCTGGCATGCTGACAAGCTGTGGTTTGTTGAGCATTTGGTAGCAGAACCCTGCTACCTCCCAGCTGTGGGAGGCTGTTGTGCAGCACCACTGGCAAGTCTGAGACTTGGGAAGGGCTTTTTCTTCGCTGTCTGCTCTCTGGATCCATGTTGTCCATACATCTCTTGAGTGTATCTCTCACAATCTCTGTAGGACTTCAGGAGGGGAGGAGGTGGGTGGTTGCTCCGGCTCCAGTGTCCATCCTGGAGTCCAACCCTGGACATGGGGAGAGCACACTTCAGGCTGCTCAGTTTGTGAGGTTCCTTGGGAAAATGCTTTTGAAAGAGCTGGAGTCTGACAGTGTTGGTCACCACCTCGTATGGGCRCAGGAGTAGACAATTGCAAAATGTTGGAAGTCAAGCAGACACAGCAGAAGGCTAACTTGAATGACCAGTAGCTAATGCAAAAAAAGGAAGGTGTTTGCCTAGTAGATGCAAGGTCAGGTGATGTTGGAGGAATATGAAGTTGCTGCTCACGCATATRAGAAGAAAATTCTGCAGACAAAGATCTATAGGAATTGAACAGGGCCAGTGCTGTGTGGGACAATAAGAAGATTTTTTTTAAAATAAAGTAGAAAAAGGCTGTGCTGAATGTCTCAGTGCCTTGAACTGGAAGACCATGGCTGTAAGAATGATAAACTCCSAGCTGACCCTGARCTTGTATGGGATCTGCTGCTGCATCTGGATCCTCATTAGTATATTGGGCCACATGGAATTCATCCAGAAATACTCAAAGAGCTGACTGATGTCATTTTGAGGTCTCTCTCAATGATTTTTGAATGGTCATGGGAATCTGGAGATGTCCCAGTTGACTGGAAGCTGGCTAACCTTCAAGAAGGTTACCATTGTGAGCATGTAGCACTTGGCAGTTTGCAGGACTGTGATGTAATCAACTTGCCCGCCTTCCCATATTTATATTTCAGSCATCATCCACCATACCAGAGAGGCTTTGCCCACTTGGCCTTGATTGCAGCACAGCATCACAGCTACGGATAAGTGGGAGACAGTGTCCATGRCTAAATCCCCCTCTTGATTATGAGCCCACATGTATATTGTGTCTCTTCTCTGATAACCTGAGCTGTCTTGAGCCCACTGAGCCAGATGTTATTCACCCATATGTTACCAGTCCAGATTAACCCGAGAGCCTTTAATCTTGGTGTCCTGATSCACCTCTCCGTTGTTGCCATGCTTTTCTGTAGCCTGACTCTGGGGTACATGTGCATCTCTTGATGTACTTYTACATCCAGTTTCTGTACCAGGGCAGTGATGTCTTGTCACAGTTCATCAGCCCAGTGAGTTTCCTTCTGTGCTGTGAATTGTCCTTTTTCCATCTGTCCAGCCAGCCCAACAGAACATTTGCCACTATTCACGAGTCAGTGTAGAGGTAGAGTGAAGGCCTGGCTGTTTCTCTTTTTCAATGATACCTAAACCCAGCTGGACAGCTTTTAGCTCTGCAGTCTGGCTTGATCCCCCTAATCCTTCAACAGCTTCTGTGACTCGTCACACAGGACTATATGGCTGCTTTCCATTTTTGATTTGTCCCTGTGATGCAGCAGGAACTGTCAGTAAAGAGACATTATTGCTTTTTGTTTTCAGCTGATTGTATGGTGGGGTCTCCTTAGCCTGTGTCATCTTCTCCTCCTCTGGTGATGATGGTAGTCTGAAATTTTTGCTTTTGGGCTCAGTAATGATGACTTCCAAGATCCCCGGATGACTGGGGTTTCCCATTCAAGCTCACTGTGTGGTCAGAGCAATCCAGTTACTTCACAGTGGCATGATGTGCTTCAGGGACTTTGAATATCCAGCCCAACACTGGCAGCCGGGATGCTGGGAGGAGCTGTGCTTCATGCCAGTCACTTCTGAGGCAGCTCCAACCCCTTTCATAAGTTGTCAGTATCTCTGTTTGAGTGGGGGTGTAGCTGGCCTCAGATGCTTTGCGTGGTGGAATATTTGTATTCCCAACACCAGAACACTAGGGGTCATTCTCAAGTCTCCACAAGTACTTTTTGCCAGGGACTCCAGGAAGGATTGTTCTTCCTAGCTGCAGTGTGTAACATGTTTTTTACATCTCTTGTTGTCCTGACTGGCTATTGCACGAGCAATTTCCTCTTCAGCTTGTTCAAAATTTGTTGTTGTTCAGGACCCTTCTTGAAACTGTTCTTCTTTAGAATCACATRATGGAGTGGCTTTACAGTCTCACTTGTAATCTGGAATATGCATCCTCCAAAAACCCACAGTGCCTGGGAAAGCCTGTGTTTCCTTGCTGGTTGGTGGGGATGTAGCTGCAATTTTGTTGACCATATCTGTTGGAATCTGATGACATTTATATTGCCATTTTACTCCTAAAACTGAATTTTCTGGGCAGGTCCCTTGAATTTCCTTTGCTGTATGGCAAAACTGATCTTCAGGATTATTTTTGGATTATCTTCTGTTTCTCAAAAACTCCTGCTGTGTCACCCCACATGATGATGTCATCAATATATTGCAAGTGTTCTGGGACCTCACCTGTTTCCTTGTTTCCTTTTCCAGTGCAGTCTGGATCAGTTCAGGATAAATAGTGGGGGTGTATTTCCACCCCTGAGGTCGTCAYTCAAGGTGTACTGGATAGGTACAGTTCTATGTGTCCAGGTGGAAGCAAACTGTGGCCTGCATTCTGCTGCCAGAGGAGTGGTGAAAAACATGTTAGGARTATCAGTAGTGGCACCACTTTGCTGCCTTGGTCTGCAGCTCCTACTGAAGTCCCAGCATGTCGGTCACATGGTACACAGAGACGGTGTGACATCATTCAGGCCATGATAGTCTGCCAGTCCTCACTTTCCACTGGGCTTACACACAGGCCGTATGGGACTGTTAAAGGGTCAGTGAGTCTTACTCCCTGGCTCTTCACTTCACGAATCATCTCATAGGTGGGGGTCACAGAATCCCAGGKTGCTGCAGTATTGTTGATGGTGCAGTGATGTGGTAGCGATTGGTACCTGCTGTTCTTTGACCCTCAGAAGTCTCACTGARAGGGGTCCTCTGAGAGACTGGACAAAGTATTGAGTTGTCTAATTTCCTCTGTTTCCATAGCAGCTATCGCAAAAGCTCTTCTAGCTCCTTGAAATATCCTCTTCTGAGGTAATCTATGCCAAGGATTCCTATGGCCTCTGGGCCAGTCAGAGTGTTGCTGCCATTCGTTCAGGCTCACCTCAGCTTCCAGTATAGTTCACTGTTGGGATCCCCCTGTCATCCCAGAAATAGATGTGTTCTGTCCCTACATATCTTGATGGCATCAGGGTACATCATGTGCCAGTATGAACTAAAGCCTTATGCTCTTGTGGGTCTGATGTGCCAGGGCACAGAATCCACATAGTCCATTGGATCTGATTGTCCCTTTCTTCTACCTGGCTGTGGCCTCTGTAGTTCTGGTAATAGTAAGGGTTGCTCACTCCTTGTAAATACGAGTTGAAGGTCTCTTCAAAGCGGATCAGAAGTAATATCAGCCCTTATATTAAAAATTAGCCCTGGCCAGAACTAAGACCGGAGCACAAAGTAGGAAGAACAGAGAAACCCTGTGCAGATTCACTTATATCTACTTGTGAATCGGGTTATTTGCAATACATTACATGTGAAATGAAGTTATTACCAGGCAGATCACACTCTGTATAGGTGTGGGATTGTTGGAAGTACAGCCTATCTGTCTCTGACCTTACAGAAATTAAAGTTTATGCATCAAGACTAGATGGATGTGAATGTTCTAGCAGTATATTGCATGTCTCTCAAATATGGTGTTAATATTAGTTTCAGTCTCTTGGTATATTTTAAAATTGTCTATTAGATACTCATTCTGTATGTGTTCTTAGTTCAGATGCAGAAGGTTTGTGTTTTCAGGCTTCTCGTAGAAGCATTTTGATAAATGAATGCAGAAGGTTACCTTTGGCTGTGAGATGCATTTTTCTATCAGGAAGAGTAGCAACGTGGTTAAGAGGGGGGTGGTCAGAATAAAAGTGAAAGATGTGAGTCCTCCCCAATTCTCTGCACATGTTTACTGGCTATATCCAGTGAGTGTGCCCAGCCCTGCACCCTGGGCTCTCATGAGCAAGAATCTTAGGAGGGCCAAGTTACTCCTCCTCCTGTTGAACCTCAGTGGGAGATACTGCGACTCTTCTACCAACTTCCCCATATAGACTTTCTGCAGGCCAGGTGGTCACACTTCTCCCTGCAAGGTGACTGATATGGTCCTGGCCACTCAGGGACCCTCTGGAAGGAGGGCCACACATTAGCTGTGAGTGCTGTGCACTTGCTTGACTTCACCACCTGGAGTAATTTCTCTGACTTGGAGGGCAGTGCTCGTGAAGTAAATTTAAAAGGTGTGGGGGTGGTGGGCAATTGGAAGAGGATTGAGAGCATCGTAGATATCTTGTCATGCATAAAAACCTTGCCTTATAGTTCCTTGCCCAAAGGAAAGAAAAATATGAAAAGTAAGATAAGAACAGCTGTTTCAAATGCTGAAATTACTGGTTATTTTGTATGTTCTGCGGCTAAAACCAGTGGTAATTTAAATCTTCCTTCCTTTACTATAGTGTTGGAGTTAGTTGCACACAAAATGATAGTCCAATTTCCTAGGAAGGTTCCTTGGAACCAAATGTCTGATGTCTGTGCTTAACATGCTTCTTGCTGTGATGTATGCTTTGTTCTGTGCACTGTGTGAAGCAAAAAGAGGTTTATTACTTTAATGTCACCTTTTTTTCCTGCTTCTCTTTTAGGAGTTTCTTTAAAGCCTTTTCACTTATTGGAGAAACTCAGGAACGTGAAAGAGTTTTAATCCACTTCTCCAACAGGTACTACCAGTGCAACCCAAACAGCATTTCTTCTCAAGGTAACTTTATTTGTGATACAAAGGTCTTTGCTTGTTGCCGTCTTCCTTCATGCTCACCTTCAATAGCGTGTATGATGTGTGCCTGGAAAATGAAGATGTATAGTTGCTGTGTCACACTTCAGAGGCTGTCTGTGGTRAGGATTGACACCCTCAGCCAGGAAGGTGTTTAGGCCTGCTCAATATAAATCCTCAGTTGTAGCACCTCCAGATTTGAATGCCCTCAGTTGTAGTTTGTTGTCTCACTGACTCAGGTATATTGGTACTTGTATTTTAGCTGCACTTTGTGGACGGGAATAGRTCTGGTGTCAGGTTGAAGAGAAGCTGTTTGCTTTCTGTTCTCCATTGGGTGTTTGTGTCTGCATGCACTGGCACCAGGCATGCCAGTTCTTGCCAGTTGTGGGGGTGAATTTTGGGTGCTGTATCCAGACCCTGGCATGGTTTTATTTTTTATTTTCTAGCTAATGTTAGTCAGAATGCTGTCTCCTTGCCAGTGTTTTCAGTCACTTTGGAAATGGGTGAAGGAAACAAACAATTGCATTGATCAAACCTGAGAAAACCGAGATCGTAGAAGAGGACAAGCTGTCTTCTGTAGTAACTGCTTTGTTCAGCCAGGCATGTTGGCAGAGCCATGTGGCCTTGTGACTGCAGCACATGCTGATCACACACTGAAGGAGGAGCATGAAAGAGAGTCATGGGATAAGCTGCACCTTTAGTTTCAAGTGCAAGTGAGAAAGAGCTGTGCTTCCTTACCCCTTGCTTTGTGACCTACCCCTGGTGCAGTGAAATGATGTTTGGCCACTTTGCACCTGTTCAGCTTTACTAGCTGTTGTGCTGAGGAGGGGAAGAGTTAGCAATAAGATTTCTGCTCCTGTGCTGTCTCTGTTCTCTGCCTAATTCATTTTTGTTTCAAGACACTGTAGGCAACTGGCTAGAGTGGGTATGTCATGTCCAGACTGAAATAATGACTTGTCTGATCATGTGGCATACATTATCCCAGGGTGCAAGAGGGAAATTGTGAGTTTTGACCTTAAGGAAGCATTTAGATCCTGCACACTTCACCCAGGATCTTAGCACTGTGTGTGGTTTTGAGCACCACAATATAAGAAAGATAAAAAGCCATCAGAAAGTATCCAGAAAAGTTGGAGAAAGGTCTAGAGGGGAAGCCAAATGAGTAGCAGTGAGGTGACTTAGTTGGCTGAGCCTGGAGGAGGCTGAGGGGACACCTCAGTGCCATTACAACTTCCTCAGAAGAGGACCAGGAGGGGTAAGCACTGGTCTCGTCTGTAGTGTGGTGACAGTGACAGACCTGAAGGAATGGCCTGAAGTTGTGTCAGGAGCAATTTAGGTTAGATATCAGTAAAACGTTCTTCACTCAGAGGGTGGTTGGGCACTGGAAAAGCTCCCCAGGGAAGTGCTCACAGCACCAAGCCTTGCAGAGTTCAATGAATGTTTGGAAAATGCTCTTGGGCACATGGTGTGATTCTTGGGGTATCCTGTGTAGGGCCAGGAGTTGGACTTAATGATCCTTGTTGGGTGCCTTCTAAACTTGCTTGGAAAGTTTATTCAAAAAGGGCTTAAAGTACTACTTTTCACTGAGGTGGACACAATGAAGAGCCTGACAAGAGTTCCCAGGAGGTTCAAAACCACACTTTCCTAGCAAACTTTAGAATATCAGGAATTTTTCAAAATTTGAAACATTCAATCAAAACAAAACACTTCACAAAGCATTGACTTAACAAACTTTACTCATGCAATCTTACATTACCCATGTTTCCAGAAATGGAGATTAGGAATAGAAAAGACAGAAAAAGAAAGAGAGAAAAATAAGACATAGCTACTGTCCTGGATCCTAGTGTGGTTTCAGCTGCCACAAAATCGAAGAAAAATAGGGCCTCCTGTGGCAAACAACCTTTGGGGGGGGGGCTTTCAGTCATCTGGCCACCTTGGGGCTTGATTGGTGCACCAGGGCAGTGTGTGGGGCATTGCTTTCAGTGTGCCAGTGATTGGTGGCAGTTCTGGACTAGAGGGTCCAGAAGGGTGGGGTGTGGAGCAGTGCATCATGCCATTTTCTCTAGAGCTGTCCCACTACATGTGTATTTCAGTTGTTCTGAGCTAGTAATAATTTTCTTCAGTGTCTCACACCTTCCAACTCTATGTTTCTGTGAATCTGGCTTACTGCTGAGGGCCTCAGCTGTAGGACCAGCTTAGAAAGCCCTGTAGTGCTCTCTACTCAACATGGAGCCAAGTCAGCAAAAGTAGCTGACTGTAGTTCTTCAAAATTCAGTGTAATTTTGCTCTGAATGAGGAGGGAGCCAAAGGGGGAGAAAAACAGGATACCCTGCTGCACCCACTCTGCACACAAGATTGAATGTATTTTACTTTTTCCTTTCTGCACTGAAGTAAATGAAGAAGGTGTTGATTCAGACAGTGGTATTGTTATTAGCAAGCAAAGAGTGACAGTGTGGTTTCCTGTCTATTTTGCCTCATCCATGGGTGCTGCAGGATAGTTTTGACAGTTACTGAAAGATGAAATAAAGTCTGTTCTGGCCTGGCAGCTGTGTGATGACCTCATGGTTCATTGATTTAATTATGTGTATTTCTTGATAAAACAGGTTCTCTTGAAAGGAWCAGATTCAATTAGGCTATGAGGCTCAGTTTCAGCTTAGTAAAGGTCCGGTTGTGGTTTTGCATGTGACTCTTGTTATGTCTCTTTCTGCAGATGGCGTTCATTGTCTCACTTGTGCCATGATGCTGCTGAACACAGACCTGCATGGCCATGTGAGTATGCATAGCTTTGTGTGGACTGCTCCTACCCACTGGTCGGAGCCAACTGGGACAGGGTGCTCTTTTGGTAGTCCCTGTGCTGGTGGCCTTCTTGTAAAGCCCCTGCTGACAGCAAACAGCGGAAAGGCTGCAGTCCCAGGCTCTTGTCCTGGGCAGGCCTTTCCAGCATGCCTTGATTGTGTCTGGCTTTGCCAAAATGTGAACATAACTCCCTATCCTCAGGCCCGTTTTTCTGGTGTGCTTACCATCCTTCCTGCTGCAGGCCCTGACCAGGAAGTTGTGTTCGGGATTTTGGGATTTACCCCTTTACAGTATGTACAAACATGTGGGAAGGCAGAATAAAGACGGGAGGTGAAGAAGTTTTGGGGAGCCTACAAAGGGAAGATGATGTTTGCAGGCATCCAGTTGCAGGGGGCTGACCTGGTGGAACCAGAGTTCTGCACAAAGGATGGGTGTACTCAGAGCCGAAGAGTGGAGTGGATGTGGGCATGCTGCGTGGGAGCCCTGTGTTCATGCACTGCACACCTCTCCCTGCTGCCTGCCTGGGGGAACAGTATTCTGGTTCGAGTCCTCTTAGTCACACTGCTGCAGGGTGCCAGCAGCCTTAGGATGGGTATTGCAGCACCCATGGTGCAATACACCTGCTGTGCAAGGTATTCTCATGCTGATGAAAGGCTTCCTCTGCCCTGGAGTTAAGATGAAGTGGGGAAAACACAGGGAGCATGACATGACTGTGCAAAAGCAGTGTACCTTGGGGGCTGCTCTCTGGCCCTCCACTGCACTTGCAAGGGCTGTCGCAGGAGGGTGTCCCTTGGGAACTCTTACACATTGAGGGTGTTGGATTGGGCAGCAGGATTGGAGGCACTTTGGGTCTGTCTCAAAGAGCTGCTCAGCTCCTGTGGTTGTAGGAAATAAAGCCAAGATTTGTGTGTTCACTAGGACTTTTGAGACACACCTCCCGTGAATTGAATGCCTTTGTCTGAAGGTTGTGGAGGCAGGAGGGAGAAGTGAGTTGTGAAGAATTTTTTTCTCTGAAGGTCCTACTGAAGGGTCTGTCAGTCACATGTGAGGGTGATTGGTGGGGTACGGGAATGTGCCTCTTAGGACACATGACTTCTCTTGAGCACACTTGAGTCTTCMTGCATAGGTATCCCACTGCCCAGAGCGATGAGCAGACTGGGGTTCCCGTTTCCAGCCTGCCTAGCCTCACAGTCCAGGGAGGGAGACCAAATGGTCATGCATCAGCTGGACAGCAATTCCCATTGCTCCCTGTGATGCTTTAGTGGGCCCTGCTGTCTTCAGTAGGTACTGGAGTAAATGATCTGACCTATCATTGCTGCTGCTGACTCTGGTTGTTGCAGTGTGCAACTTCGGAGGCTTACCCCACTGGCAGTTTTATTGTGTTGTTCTGTATATGCAGCTGTAGTATTTGCCAGACTCCTGCTCGTATTTTGTCTGTGGGTATGTCATCGTGTTCCCTCCAATACCTCTGATGTCCTGTAATTTTGGTTTTCCTCTTAATTGCTTTTCATTTTTCCACACAGGTGGTAAGTTTGGCATTTTTGACTTGGAATGCAGCCCTTGCAGATATACCTAATTGCCTGTTTCCTAACAAAGATAATGCTTTGCCCCATCTTTGCCAGGATTCTGCTAGAGTAGGAAACAAATGAATCGCAGGGCTTGTCTACGTTGAGCTCCCTTTGGTTCTGACATACTGATCAGAAGTGCAGGCACTTCTATTTCACGATAAGCTCCGCTGCTTCTAGGGCTGTAATGCAGCTGCTCTGCCTTCGGCTCACTCTTGCCTTTAACTCTTGTAGACAAACTCTTACCTACCCCCTTTGTTTTCCTGTCTTGCCACACTTTGTTCTATTTGTAATTAAACTGTTTTCGCTAGGTGTGTCTTGGAAATGCATGCTTGCTTCTCTGCATGGAGGTCCTCACCTAGGCTGGTGCTATAGTTTTGAGGTATCTCTGGATCACCAGGCTCATTTTCTGTGGCACCATATGGAGATGTTTGCTTTGGTCCTGGAGCAAAACAGCCATTTGCCTGCTGTTTTTGCTGTTGGTTTTGGTCAGCTGGGGAAGCTGCAAACTTCTGCCTGGAGGAAACAAATGGAAGCAGGTTGAAGTTGCAAGGAGAAAGGAAAGCACTAGCATGTCTACTAGACAGCTTCAGCCTGCACTTAAAGACTGCAGTTATGAGCTGTGTTGTACAAGCTTAGCAAGAAGAGAGCCAGGGCTACAGCAGTCTGTGTTGTCAGGAGCTGTCCTGTTGTGGGAAGCCATGCATTTTTCTAGTGTTACTGCTGGCCTTCTTTCTGTGTGTTTGTGTTAGCCTCAGGGTGTGGGATCTTTCTTATTGGCTGGGTGAGGCTGATGGTCAAAATTTGGTGGTTTTCCATCTCTCCTGATCATACATTATGGAAGTGAACTAAAGGATGTGCACTTTAAGATAGCATGTAACTCTTGACATTGAATAACCCTTATTCCTTGGTCTCCAGTCCTGTGTTAATTTGGGCTTCTGCTCCCAGCCCAAGATGAAGCTCAGACAAAACTCTTCTGTATTTCTGCAGACAAAGCATGCACTGACAGTGGAAAAGTCATCTTCATCTCCTGACAGTGTGCCAGACCTCAAAGATACCTTGACCATCCCATGGCCCTCTTTTCCCCATTGTCTTTACCATGTTTCAGGCTCATCTCAGGATCCTTTCCTTTCCTCAAATGTCATTTGGTGTCTTCATCAATGCAGTGCTGTAATTGCTGCCCACTCACAAGGCTCCCCACAGGCTGAACAGGAGACATTTTAACACCTGAGGGACCGAGTATGCTTTCTCTGAGGGGTGATGGAGACCGTGATTCAAGAGCACTTCAGGGCAGGCTCTAGATGGAGTTTGACTCCTACATAGATGTAACTGTTCCTTACCCATTTGTGGCTTATTTGGGCAACTTTCAGTCTGAGACTTAGACAGGAGGAAAGAGAACCAGTCTATGAAAATGTCAAATGTCTTCTGTACAGTCTCTTACACAGCCTCAGCCTGTGAATCAGAAAAGGTAATGGTCGCTCCTCCGCATCGCACTCCAACTCAGGGCAGTTGCCATTGAAAGGAAACTAAATTAAAGGGAATTGGAAATTAAAGAGAAGGGTCTGGAAAGGGCCTCAGTCAGATATTTCCTGTGTCCCACTGCAGATTCAAGAAGAGCTTTTCCATCAGAAAATGGTAGTGCTTCTGGAGACATGAGGATGTAAAGCAGCATGTAGATACTCAAGAGGTTCATCATTGCTCTCTTCATTACCGACATTATTAAGCTGGGGATTTTTTGGGGGGGKGTGTGTGGGACTTCGTGTGCAAAAGCACCTTCCCTTTTCTAGCTCTATGCATACAAGGCCGCTCATCTACGCGTAATCTCATGAATGCTTTCTTAGTGCTGCCKTGGGCTCAAAGGAGAGCAGGAAGATGCATTTAATCTGATGTTGCTCATTCCTGTCATTTTGGAAAGCAGCAAGAATATGATGCTGTGTTTCTCTGACATTCCTTTCAGAATATTGGGAAAAAGATGACCTGCCAAGAGTTCGTTGCTAACCTCCAGGGGATGAACGATGGCAAAGACTTCCCAAGAGGGCTCTTGAAGGTAAGGAATTTACTGCAGAACGTGGGTTTCATTTTTACTGAAAGATGGTTCAAAACAGAACGCCCATCTTGCGTTTTCTGAATCTTAATTGTCAAACATGACAAGTGATGGGTATGTTTCTCCTCCCAGAACATGCATAATATATACAGTGTTTATTCTGTTGTTTTCCCTCTTGCCTTCACTTGATAGCGAAGGAGATGCTCTGCAGCATGGAGGGGTGAGACTGAGCTGCAGCACATCTGGCCCCAGAGCTGTGTGCCCTGTAAACTCCTGCRGTCATGCCAGCCCAGAGTGCTGTCTCCTGATTACAGCGGGCAGAAGCAGCCAGTTGGCTCTGACTGCAAATACATAAGGGCTAAGCTTGATCTCTGTGTACAGTCTGGAAGGCGCGTGTGTTTTTTCATCAGAGGTGCTTTGGGTTATTCAAATTAGAGCTGGAGATGTAATTTCAGATTATAATGTGCTGTCTAGCACAGGCTGTGTTGYTTCAGTCTTTGTTCATTAAGTTTGTGCCAGGAGGTAAATGTGAAGAATGGGGGAAGAGACTGAGCAGGACAAACCTTGTTTTATTGTCAGTAATAATGAAAATGTTTCACTTCTTTTTTGTCTGATTGCTAGCATGAAACAGCAGTTTGTTTGAATGAAGGTGTGCATACACTGGAGTTCAAMATTTATTTATTTTTTTGTAATGGAAATAAAAATCAGAAGCTGCTGCATCTGAGAGTGACCTAATGCCTATTGAAATAAATCAAATGAGTTGCCATCTCTTCTGTGGGTTTTGTGTCAGGGCCATTGTGAAATACAGATGTGCTTGCATAGGTGAAAGCAACAGAGTTTGATTTCTAGTGTTGGTAATTTCTTCTTTTTCTTCAGCCTCTTCAGGTAGCTTTTTATTGCCTCAAGTTCTTACTAAGTAGTTGGGAATATAAACCCCCCCTTATTTTAGCTATAAGGTCTTTAATTTTTCAATCTGTATACAGAGTATTTATCTGTCAGCAGCCACATTTAAATTATTTTTTCCCCTGAGGAATCTCATTTCTCACTTTACCATAGAAGGATGTGTCGAGATTAATTTGCAGGCTAATTACAGCCCTTGTTGAATAAACAGATCTCCAGATTGTTTTTAAATAACCTTCCAAGCGTACTGATGAGAGACTTCCACCGGTGCTCACCTGGTGTTTGTTTTTCTGCTGACAGAATTAGGCAGCTGGGGCTGTATCTTGATGTTTAGTGCTCACCTGCTAATACTAGGGATGTGTGACTCTTCACCCAAAGCAAATACCAGGGCTCAGGATTTTTGGGACATTTTGGACTGATGGAAGAAGTTCAGTGTTCGTGTCTCACTTCACTTAAGGCTTTCTGCCCTTTTCTGTTTGCTGCCTTGATGTCCTGGGGACAGAGGTGGCTCCCAGCCTTGGTTTCTCATCTGGCTGGTCTGAAGATCTGATGAGCTGACCCTTGCTTTTTAATTTATCAGCAGAGAGCAGTGGAGTGAGTACGAGTAATTGTGGTACTGTGATCACAGCAGCCATGCAGTCACTAACTGTGCAATTACAAGGACTTAGCGAACATTAATTTTGCATTAGTCTCAATAAATTAAATTCACAGCRCCCTGCTTCAGCACAGCTCCAAAGTGCACCTCTCCGCCTGGGAGAGGAAGAGCTATTTCCACAGGGTGGCAGTGTGTCCCTGTGGGAGTGAGGTCCTGAGYGCCCACTGGTGAGCAATGCAGACCTGTGGCAAAGCGAGTGGGCTTTTCTGCCTCTGCAGTCTCCCCGTSTTCTCCTCGTGGTCCTACTGCACCCCTGTATGAATCTCTGAAGCTCTGCTGACCCCCAGAGTGAAGCTGGGCACTGGTGGAGGGGAATGAAGGCCAGGAAGAGCCAAGTGTTCATCCAGGGCTTGTGAAATGCAGTGCAGCATTTGTTGTGGATTCAGTTCCCAGAGTCAGGGGTGCAAATGCAAATGCTTGGGCTATCCAGGACAGCTGGCTGACAGTCATAGGTCAAACATTACTTTCAGTCAATCCCTTCATCCTTAGTGCTGCTGAGTTCAGAGTATGGCCCTGAGTGTTTTGTCTGGATAGGAAAATAGCACATCAAAGGGCAGACATCATCATGTGAGGGGGACACACTTCTGTGTGATCAGCCTCAGAAAACTTGGGACATTAGATCAAGTTACTCTGTTCTTTCCAYCCCTGTGGAGAGGCTATCTCTATATTTTATTTAGTTTTTTCCAACAACAAGAATTCTTGGTAAAAACCACAAGGCCTTCATGACTTGATTCTCAGTGTGTCACTACTTGTGGTTTGAGAACAGATATTTCACTCTWGTTTAAAAGTAGAAATGAGAGATATTAATGTGATCTTGCTCAACTTGTGTCATTCTGTCTGTTCATTTAACACTGAAAAAAGTTTTGTTTTTGTAGATCTGTCTGCACAAAGATTCTTTGCCTTTCCTTTTTCCTCACTCCTTTAGTCAGATCTGAGATTGCTTTTAAAGTTGGGAGCCATAAAGACAAATATGCTTAACTGTGATTAAAAGTGCAGTTCTGCCCATGGGGTCTGCTTGTATTAGTCATGTATTCATCATATATATATGTAGAAAGGGAAACCATGGCTAGGATCTCCCTCTGTGGAAAGAAAACAAAATCAGGGGCATTTTGACAATGTCAAGAGCCTCATGACTACAGTGTGGGAGTGGTTTCTGTCTCAGGTGCTCACAGCAGATTTAATCAGCTSTAGTGATAACATGTTCACAATGATATGCTAGGGAATTGTATTGTGTGATCATAAACTTCTTCAGAGCTGGGCTTCACCAGATTTTCTGAAATGAGGAGGTTGGCTTACTTACTGCAAGGTAAGAGYCTTACCTTGGCTATCCATGCTTCAATTCCTGCGGACAGTGTGGTCCCCACAAATAAAGTGCTGGTACAGTGCTGGCCACTGTGTCTTCCTCTTATCATCWTGAGACAAGGTGTGTGGGAGTGCACTCCAGGAAGGTGGCAGTAACAATGTCTTTCATAGGTAAGGAGAGAAAGTGTCTTCTGTGGCCCACAGCGAGCCTGCAAGAAGGCATCTCTAAGGAAATTGATCCTTGGGTTTGTTAGGCAGTGTTCTGGGAGGAGTACTCTGTTAGGCTCTGTACAAAGCTCCACGTGTCCTGCATAGGTGAACATTATCTGCACTTACAATTTCAAGATACCTCATTCATGGAATTAGGGGCATCCCCRACCCCTGACATGGGCTGACTGGTGACGGTGCTGTGACATGCCCACTGGATGTGAGGAAGTCATTCCTGGCTGTGTGTCTTTTGTTAGGGGGTRGTAGCTCTTCACTGACCCATTGTACTGAGAACCTCCGTCATGCTGAGGGACCTGGGATGCTCTGCAGGGATTTTGCTGGAATCATCCTGTCAGGGGCTGCTGATGGAGATAAGACACCARTCCTCCATAAAGATCTGTGTTTTCTCAAAGGCTGTTTTTTTGGGTAGGCCGTATCTCCTGCAGAAGTACTGTAATGAAGTGACCAAATTAACTTCGAGCTGCTGGTGCTGAACTCTTCTGAAGGACCAGTCCTCCTTAATTTCTTAAAGAATCTGAATTCTTGATCAGGATTCCTGGGATATGTAATTTCCTACAGAAACTGCAATGTAGCGTTTATCTCAGGTTGCTGTCAGTTCCGTGCACTTCAATTAATGGGATTATTTCACCATTTCTCTCTCCTCTCTCTCTGCCCCTCTCWTTTTTTAATTCCCTTTGAAAGCCCTCCAAAGCAAAAACTCAATTTAAAGAGAATTACTGGCATCTTACTCATCCATTCCAATAATTTCAAGTATTTAGCAGAAGAGAATGATGATCAGGTACCTRACTCCTCCCTGCACACCCTCAGCCCCTCCCTTTGCTCAGAGGAACTCAAACYGATTGGACTGCTGCGTACACTCTTAATTGCTCTCATCGGCAGTGTCTGTACTTCATCTATTTAGTGGCTTTTTGGCAAGAAATTCCCACCTTCGAGGGAAACCTTCGGGGGGGGGGGGATGAGAGCATGTGATGGCATGCCAGAACAGCCCCAGGAGGACAGCACTGACTGCTGAGCAGAGAAAGGAGAAGACCTAGTGTCTTTGCTCCACTGAATAAGACAGAGTTCTGCCTCCTTGTTTCTTCCTCAAAACAAAGTTTTTCTCTTAAAAATATTTGTCTTTGAAATAGTATTTCTGGACTGTTCCTTATCTGTATGAAWTGGAAAATCTGTTACTGATGGCCCCTTTCAGCTGCTAGGAGACAACAGTGTCTGGCAGTATAAAAGCCAGGGAATGCAGGATGCAATCATTACTCTTTGTCTTAAGTAGTAGTTTGTGAAAGCATATTTTCACTCTCCAAAGAGCCACAGATCCATAGTGGAGGAAACACCCGTCTTGTCTTCTCTCCATCCTTGCTAAGAACCTTCCTGCTGTGGTAACCCTTGCTTCCTTCAGCTTGGAGTCTATTGGGTGTTGTCATTTTGTCCTATTCAAGAGTAATAACCACTTAAAGCATGCCTGTGCAGAACTGTGAATTGGACGAGGTCGTGCTTGTGTGTGTATTGCTTTGTGTCCCTTGAATTAATGACATTCCTAACATCTCCCTGCTCTGTTGAAATGCAAATATATTTTCTTTTTGCATTTCAGAAACTTACTTTAGTGCATGTAGAAAGAAATATCTGTAATCTGTGTATTTTTTCTCAAGTCAGATAAACCCAGTTATTGAGTTGAAGAAARCTTCATAATATCAAAAGCCTAATATCAACTGTCTCTGAGTAGGGAAAGCAGAACTTTARACAAGGCTTAAAACATAAAATTTTGCTAAGGTGATCCGGGAATAAGGATTGCTCTGCATAGTCTAAGGGTGGTATTATGAATTACTTGCCTTACTAGGAAGCAGGATGGACCTTACTGGATTTCAGGATGGACCTGTTTCTGCTTTCACAATCTGTTTTCCTTATATTTGCAATTCATTATTTT